CCTTGCACAGCCCCACTAACATTGAGGCTGCGGGCTTGCCTAGAGCCCGAAAGTGTCCACCTTCATGTCCTTGTCACCCAAAATCAGCATCCAGCCCCTGCTCCCAGGCCAAAGGTGCCAGCCCCAAAAGGGGTGCCTGGCCTCAAACCTCCCTCAGCAGCCCTCACACAGACCCACTCACACTGGGGCTGTGGGCTCCCCTTAACACCTAACAGTTCCCTACCTCGCTCCGTCCCTCCAACAGTTCTATCCAGACAGGTGAGTTCTCAGATGTGAGGAGAGCGAACCCAGCAGAAAGCCTCAGGGAAAAGGACCTTGGAAGAACACCATGGTCAACCCTAGTTGTTACACAAAGAGCAGCCCTGACCCTTTGCCACCTGCAGCCCTTTTAGAAACTAAGCCCAGCCCCATCCTCATCACACCTACCTGGGCTGCCAGCCCAAGCACACAGCTGTGAAGATTTGCTTGTAAAGCACAACAGAAATACCAGCCATGGAGAAGAAGTTTCTACACAGAAACTTTTCTGAGTGGTACTTTAAAATACACACTCACATTGGAGCTGTGGACTTGCCTACCCACAGAAGGGGTCCAAAAAAACCCAAACCCGTACATCCCTCTTATCAAAATCAGCATCCAGTCCCCAAACTGGAAACGTCCAGCCCCTGCTCCCAGGCCAAAGGTGCCAGCCCCAAAAGGGGTGTCTGGCCTCAAAGCAGCCCTCGCACAGCCCCACTCACATTGGGGCTGCGGGCTCGCCTAGCCGCGCAAAGGCTCAACAGAGCGCCTCACTATGCCTTTCATCATCCATGCACGTCTTTGCCTATTTTGCCTAGCTAATTTAGGGGCTCAGCTATGAGTCCATCTCCCCATGACTGGTTCCCCTAGCACATGAGAGCTGTACTTATTGGGGTTGACACTCTTTACAAGAAATATTAAACGTAGGAAACAGCATTTGTATCAAAATGCTGTGCCAGGGTAGCCTTCAAAACCTTCAACTCCATGGCTGTTAATAAATTAGCATTTTCTCTCATTAAGCAGTAAAGGTGTTGCACCCCTCTAACACCCACTGTACAGGTAAAACCCTTGCCCTAGGACATGTGCCAGGCTTATCCAAGAACTCTGATTTATTGACATTTGTCAAAACAACACAAACGTATAAGAAAGTTAATTCCATAAAATCACATTGCTTAAGTGCCATGTTCATGTTAAAAAAAAAAAAAATCCATTGAATTTCATTCATTAAAATATCAAACGTTTCTTTTTCACATTTATAAAAACAGTGCAGCTGGTGTGTACCATAAAGACACGTGCATTAGCTGGGGCCCTGCGTCCCGCTTTGCACCGGGAAGGGCTCCTTTACTGGATACTTGCACGCCACGGACACTACCTGTGACAACAGCTTCCTCGCTAAAGGATCTGCAGCGAGGCATATTTCATCATCCTCTAGTGACATCCGCTTTCTCAGTTACCAACAGAATAGTTACAGCACATTCCTTAGAAATCCTAAACCAGACGGACAGTCCAATCCACACCGAGGCCGGGCGTCAGGTTCACATCAAGCATGTTCAGTCGGGATGGCTGCAAAGTGTTAATGAGAACTGATTTCAGTGTATTGCTGCCTGTTCCCAGAACTCTGTAACAAAAAAGAGGAGGAAATTTTACTCCCAACACTAGCAAAGAAAAAGCAACTCAAATGCTAAGGGGAAAAAAAAATCAAGTTTCTAATGGTTTGAAACATGCAATGGTAGAAAACCACGATAAGAGCTTGTCTCCAACTCCTAAACCACTTCTACTCGGGCAGAGAAAGACCCTACAAAGAAAGAATTATTTGAAGTCTCACTGGATTCACTTAAGCAAAAAGTGAGACAGGTAAGCACAGACATTAATGCATACAGCCTCTTTGAAAGAGCAGCTGTTCAGATAAGTTTTTACATCAGATTATGTACAATAGGGCTATCTGCCTTTACAGATGCACACAGACACCCCTGACAAATCAAACAGAACGCCTGCAGAGAACAAGGGAGGTGCTGAGTACACAGGGAACAGATTCAAATTGAAGAAGAGGTTTTGCCTGCAAAAGAACTAAAACCAAATGCAAGTCTTTTGGGAGAACATCTGCTGAATAGCCTCCTAGTTCTTCCACCTTTGCCTAGGCTGTGCGCACAAACGTGGGACAATTCTTCTAGAAAAGAACCAAGAGGAACAAGCCCTCTGCTCACCTTTCCTTTCCTTTCGCTACACCGGAACACGCTGCTATCCTGCTGCCTGCTTGGAGCCCACGGCAGGAGGGACAAGGCTATCCAGCTGCTGACGGTTCCCCGTCTGAACCAGCCACTCGTAGAATTTGTTTTCCACCAGCATCTGGAACTGTTTCCTCTGATCCCTGAAACCAAGAGAAGAGCAGGGAAGTAGTAAAGGTCACGTTTATGTATAGTATTATACTTCTATAACTTCGCCTTCGCTACCAAAACAAGCCTCCGTATCTATCAGCCAAGAGCCAGGCTTGGCTCCTGAACTGCCTGGAAGAGGCTTTTACCAAGTGAACATGACTGGAATGAACCCCAAAAGCAGAAATCAGCACAGCAGAACTTCCCCGTCCCACTAGCACAGCGACCCTGCTCCACAGGGCTGCCTCTGCTTTAGAGCACAGGTTAAAAACTGTCTAAAAAGGGTGAAAAAGAAGATTAGTAACCGGCGTTTAAGCACGGAAGACACAAAATTCTGTTATAACAGCATCTGAAAGAGAGAGGATGGGATCAGGAGGAAAAAAAGTGCATATAAACAACGCTCCTCAAATTATTCCCATTACTGCTAAATAACTTTTGGGGTGCTTTTGGCAAGACCAGCAATAACAGGGTGTATGACGTAGCTCACGCTCGCTGTCCCTGGCACGAGGCAGGTGCCCAAGAGCAGCACAGGCTCACAGCAGTGTTTCTCCAGAGTCACCCGGGATCAGCTCAGGTCCAGAATTTCTTAAGCCAAAGGTGGCACGGGTGTTGAGTAGCTCCTGCTGGACTTTCTTTTTTAACTATGAACTTACGTAATTCCTTTCCGAACCCTTTTTTTACTACGAACTTATGTAATTCCTTTCCAAACCCATGTAAAACACGAACATTTTCAACATCCCGTGAAGATTTTATGTGCTTTTGCTTTGAACCCATACCTACTTTTTTGTGTCAATCCCATCCCGTAATGGGAAAAGCAGCGAACCAGCTCTATTCCTTTCCGTACCGCTCAGCTTCAGAGGGGCCCGGCGTACCCAGACCCTTTTTCAAGTTCAAGGGCTCTTCTTTGTACCATAGCTTCCACTGGAGATGTTCACTGACATGCTCCGCAGAAAGCAGGGTTCTAGGACATAATCTAACCTAAATTCCTCCCCAGCGAACGTGAACACAAAGGCAGTCACTTCTCTCTTCTCTTAGGGTTTTATCTTCTCCAAGTGCTTTTTCTATACCCTGATCTGCTACTGACCCTGAAAGACTTTCTGTCTGATATGCTCAGAAAATGAATAAACAGGATTTTATGCTTTGGCAAGTTGTTCCTCAAGCTGTCTTATTGGTCCTGTCTTACGGGAGTTTTACTTTCAGCTTGGCAGGATTTACATTCTTTCTTTTTTTTGCCCCATTTTCCTCATTCAGACAACTTCAGCTTCTTGAAAGATGTCTTCTTATTTCTAACATTCTCTTTCACCTCCCCGTTCAAGCACGGCAGCTTTTTTCTTTCTACAAGTCTGATATCCTGTTTGCTCTAAGCTTCCTAGTTGTCCCCCTGCCTGCAGGAGACAGAGACATTTTACATTGTCAGCTGCCCAGTTTCTTTTCAGCAAGCTTCTAAATTTGGCAGAGTTTTTCCCCCTTTTATGAAGTAAGCCACTCCAGTAGCGAGCTCTTGCCTCCTGCGATTGCCGTAAAGGATGTTAAATCTAAGCACATCATTCATATTACCTCACATTTCTTTAACGGTAAGATTTTTGGCAGGCTGAATGCCTTTGCAAAAGCCTAGGGTGAGAAGCAGCAGCCCAGGGAGGACAATGGCCGGAGGGGGAAGCACCTTAGATGAGGTCAATAAACACAACGGATGACTCTAGCACAAGGGCTGAAGTTGTAACTTTCCTCTCTGCTGCCCTTGAAGACTCAGGGCTGAGAGTTTTGAAGGTTTTTACACCTCTGTCACCACTACTGGGTCACTGCTGCTCAGCCACCCTCCACCTGTAGCTAAATCGTGCCCCAGAACCCTTCCTCTCTCCCAGCCTAGAGCTCTTCCAAACCGCAGGCTCCTCCACGCTTGGTGCAGAGGCACCTAGATTTCAGAAAGCAACAAGGGAAGCGGCGGGAGCTCCTCCAAAACAAGGAACGATCAGCCTGGTATGGTGGGAAACGTTGAGAGTTTGACCTGAGGAGGTTTTCATACTCTGTGTACCCTCCAAGATCACTGTTTATCAGCGCCCAGTTACACGCCCGTTACAAGTCACCGACTGAGCGCAGAACAGAAAGAAAATCTACGCAGCTCAAGCACAGCTTAGGGAACAAAACATGTTCTCGTCTCTTCAAGCATCTGCATTTGAATATCTGGGTTTGACTATCCCTAGTCTGTATTTGCAAAAGAAGCCGGGTTCTTCAGGTTGCTGCACGAAAACGGCTCACAAAAGGATAAACGTGGCTAAACTGAAGTAGGCAGAGATTTGTACCCTCGCCTGATCTGGCTGGCTGCTGAAGAAAGCACGCTGACAAAGGAAGTAAGCTGAGCTTTTTCAGAGCTCCGCAATAGGTGCTGAGAAAGGAAGCAGACGCGCACCGGTACACGAGAGGGGCTAGGACAGGCCTAGCTAGTACAGTAAACGCTGGGCAGAGGATTCCATGGGATCTGATAAAGAGGACTTTAAAAGCTACTGCCCACGAGGTGATCAGCTGTAATGGTCCACGTGCACATTCTAAGCTCACCTCAACAACAGATGGGACAGTAATTTAAAGTCTCAATGTAAAGGTCGGGCTAAGAGTGACCACCGATCAGCTGCAGGGCAATAATTAGCTGAGCTGTTGCTCAGGGTACGCACCCAGACCTCACCCACGGCAGCGCGCGACGTACCCAGCGTGAGGCAAGTTATAAACTCTTTCTGCCAGGGTGGATCCCCAGCAGTGCCTAGGCATGCCGCTCCTCGAGTCTCGCAAGCAGGAAAATGCAATCGTGACAAAGCACTTCCTTCAGAGTTACGATCACAAGCGTTATTCTTACCACTTACAGCAAAGTAACGCTAAAGACAAGGATCCCAAGATTGCCAATTAGTAACGCTCTAGAAATGGCATGCAAGACACGGCTCGTGCAAATCGACCCACGATTAAAGCATTTTTGACGCACTACATCAAATGACTCTTCTCTTTGTACGTCTGAAGTGAGCTGCGACGCAGCCGACGCATTCCTGTTGGGATGCAGCACTCACTTGGTCAGGCCCGCCTCCTTCACAGTTTTCTGCCAGATCTGTACCTTCTGCTCTCGCTGACTCAGTGCCTTCTGATACGCGGGGGGAAGCCCGCCCGGCGTCTCCGTGGTGTCTCCTTCCATCTCAAAAGGAATCACGAAGGTGTAGAAGTCCGAGGGCGGCAGGAGACGGAAGACACTGGTGTCACCGCTGTCCTTGCAGACCAGCAGGGGAGTGTCCCAGTAGTTCGGCAGAGTGGCCAAGCCCACCTGAGCCATGTGGTCTTCGAGCATCGGATAATGGGTGTGGAAAGGGGCAAAGCTGACCGCTTGGTTCCCCGAGAGGATGAGAGGCTGGGTAGGTGTGAGAATGTAAAAAGTACAGCCGGCGGTGGAAGAAAGGGACAAACGATGGCAAACCACAATGACTTTGACGTTGTCGCAGCTCTGGACGTGAACAGACGCCTGCACAGGGCCGAGGACAAAAGTGCTGTTTCGGCACTTCTCAATGGTCACGGATCTGCAGAAGAACAAGAGAGCGAGGACGCAGTGAGCGGGAAAGAGCAAAACCAGGACTTTTTCACTGCTTAGTCCATCTAACAGGAGCTTAGCGCTTGAACAAGACATCTCTCTGTGTCCCAGGAGAGCACAAACTCACCGGAGAGGAGAGAGGAGATAAATGAAGGACTCGTTGCAGCGATGAATTCTTACGTGAGCCCCCACCAGGGTGTCCGAGCTCTTGGCCAGCGTCTGCTTGTACACCTGGCTCATTATCACCATGGGGAACACCTCGGGCACCACACGAGTATTGCAGGCAATCTTTGCTCTCCTGGTTGTTCCTTCAACTGCAAAATAAAGTTAACCAACGCATTTAAAAGAAAAAAATAAATAAATAAAGCACAAAAAGGCTACGCGTGATTCCTACAGACACACAGACGTGACGGTTTACTGTCCACATCCCTCGGCAATCCCCGAAGAAAATAATCAGCCCAAAACCTGAAGGATGGTACTGTCAAACCGCACCACTTCATGCACCAGGCGTACCACCCACCGATACCGACTGGGCAGGTCAGCAGTACCTAGCGCTCAGAACCTCCAGAATTTGGGGGACGTTGAAAGATCAAAACCACTTTAAGATTATTCAGGGGCAGCCAAAGCCCCCCAAAAGCTACAGAGAGCCCTGACCTAGGCAACTCCACTTCCAGAGGTCTGTTCCTTGGCAGGAAGATCCTCAGGGCTAGTTTTCTGCTGAAAGCAGGAACTGTTAAGTTTTAAGACAGTGAAATGCTCCTTCTGCAGTTCAATCTTTAAGCAACCTCACCATCCTGCCTACTGCACTGCCACTCTTGCTATTGTGCCGTCAGAGGAAACAAAACATTCATCTGAATTTTTTTCTCCTAAGGTGGAAGGTGTCTTGGCTCCGCTGTCACATCCCCGCAGGCGAGGGGCTGTGATTCAAGATGAGGAAAGCCAAACCAGTGCTCAGCTTTGCCACAAACACATCATATTATCTATTCTCTGCCTCCAGCTGTACTTGAATAACGAGGATGATAATGACCTCACTCAGAGGGGGCTTCAGAAATAAAGGCATTAACGTTTGCTCACAAAAGTGATCCAAAGACTGGAAAAATACACATGGATGTCACACAGCACCCCCTAGTCCCCCAGACTCGCCTCTAAGCTCTCACTTTTCCCATCTCCACTGACGGTAGGAGGAAAAGGAGGCAACCCCCCACACCACTGCCAGATCCCTGGTCAGCAAGAGGAACGTTATTCCTAAAAATAAAGGCGAAGTCTGTACTACCTTGCTGCGCCCAGGCGAGTTTCTTCCCGGACTTGAGGCAGGCAGTCATTCCAAAAGGGTTTGTGGTCAGGCAAGACCGCAGCCAGCTCTCCAGCTTGGGGAAAGAAAAGGCTTTGGAGACCTTTGAGTAGCCGTTCTGCCCGTGACAGGGCTGCCAGAGGGCAAGCTCGTGCAGAGGATGGACCGTCCTGGATTTGTTCACGGTCCCTTCAATGAGAAAGCTGAGGGCACAGATGGCTTCGTAGGACACCAAGCGACTGCGGGTGGAATGGGAGGAGGCAGTGAGCTGCTCCGGCTCCAGCAGCAGTTCCAGCATATCCGAGAGGTGACTCTGCACGAAGGCACGGTGGTCCTGGTCGTTCCAGTTCTTAACGGGCAGAAAAACGCACAAGAACGAGGTGAGTTCTCACATCGCTGACAAGCTCCCCTGGCCTTATACAATGCACCCTTGCCTATGCTCGTTCTAACAGAACGTGCTCTCTCCTGCTCA